GGAAGTGTGTTGCTTTGCATCAATCAATAAATGACTCACGATGAGGGGAATAAAGTGTTTCTCTCCTGTTCAAACAAGTCCTTTTCAATCAAGGATGTGGATATCATTAATGCACCACTATCTCCACTAACAACAAGCTCTGTGAGAAAAGCTAATTTTAAAGAATAGTTTTAATGTTGGACACTGCCATTACCTTGTAGAGCTCCCTCCTTCCTTTCACCATCCATGTCAACACAAGCGACAGGAATGAAAATAGACACAAGGTGTCAGGGGGGTGCGTCAAGCTAGGTCGCTAGCTGTCAGAAAACTCAAATAGGACACAGTCTCACAGCGTGTCCTGATAGTTCACTGGGATTGTAGTATTCTAAATGCTTGAGTTTTTCATCAAAGGAAATTTCAAAAGCAAATCCATAAATATTCAAAACAACAATAGAAGTTGGTAGCATCTCAGTGTGAGCCATCTGTGAGTGCAGTAAAGGTGATGATTTGTGAGGAACCTTTTGGTTCTCAGGGGAGCCTTTTGGATAAGGAGCTACTGATAAGCAGCTTGGAACCTCTTCCTGTCAAAGCTGCCCTTGTCGAATCATCTGTCCATGAGGCGCATTTTCACTTCCTCGCTGGCTGCAGCCCAGGACCCATTAGCTGTTTTATGTGGCCCTTTCTAGAGCCCAAGTCTTTGACCTTTAGGCCCTTGCTTATCTAGTGTCTTTTACATAAGAGCTGTAAATTCTGCTTAGATGACCAGCTTGTCTGCTTTGTTCTGTGTCCTGTTGGTTTGAAGTCCTGACTCAGGCAAATACCTTAGCTGCAAGTAATTCGACCCGCAGCGTCAGTACATGAGAAGGTCATAAAACTTAAATCCCTGGTGAAGACATGAAATTCTGTACCGGTTAACTGACAGGTTCTTTACTGATTTGAAGTGGACAAATTATACTGATGTTGAATTATGTTTTTTTCTGGTTCTTTTCCTAGGTTCAGATAAACAACAACATGAAAAATGACACATTCAAGGAGCTCCCTGTATCACTAGTCCTCTTCTCTCTCATCTGTATTGATGTTGTGGAGAGGATACGTTACTGTAGACTGACCGGCCAGGGTGAGCACATCATTCCTCTGCCAACGTCTATAGGGACAATAACCCTAGCTTTGAATTATTGAAGCTTGGAGGCAACACATGCTGTAAATAGTTCTTGAAATGACGAAACCAAACTAATTTAGAAACCCAAACTTGAACTTCAGATTCTTTTGCTTTGTCTTAGCAAGTACAACGTATTTGTTCCACGAAGGATATACGCAGGAAATGTCCTGGACACTTCTAGAAACACGCTGCTGAATGAGCAAAACTTCAGTAATGTTTTCTTCTAAAGGGGAGGCGCTGCTCTGGTTTCAGGGAATCCTTGTTTATGTGATGGAAAACTGTTTTTTTTAACACTAGCTGTCTAGTGACATTTTGGCAAGGCATGTTGTAGTTCTTGACTAAACCATATGAAAACAGGAACAAATTAGATTCTAAATTTGCCGTTGTTTGATCAGACTGCTGTTTTGAAAATCGTCTTTTCTCTTCTCAGCTAATGGCATGGAGAGAGACGCTGAAATCCCCTCCACTGTCCTCACACATGTAGAGCAGGTTACAGCAGTGACACCCATCAATCCAGGGCCAGGGCCAGCTGTGCCTGAGCAGGTTGTGCCAACTCCTTTATCCCAGGGAGCAAGCCAGCACAATGACCGAAACCAAAACGGAGGAGGCGCTCGTCCAGAGACCAACGGGACTGTCCCAGGGATACCTGGTAATCCTGGGAGACCTTTTAGCATCGCTGGATTGAGCTCACGATCAGCAAGCACCACTGCATGCCGTGTATCTCCATACACCTACACAGGTCCGCTGAGATTCCTATGTGCCAGTGATGCTCGAGCAGATGTTTTTGTGGACAGCTTTATGTTCTGGATGGACACAGTGGAGATGGTGAGAGTGGCAGGAGATCCCCTGGTCTACTACTCAGGCTGGGTGTTCCCAATCTATATCTTCAGCTACCTGTCTTGTCTGCGTGTGGTGGTCATGCCCCACAGCCCCCTGCTATCCTCACTAGGAGTGGCCGTGCAGGACTTACCCTTCTTCTTCGTGCGCGTTGGCCTCATTGCCTTCTTTGGCTTTGTCACACCGCTCCTTTACCTTATGAAGAACCTGTTGGTTTTCCTCGCTTTTGTCTATTTCAACTTCATGACCAAGCTGAGGGTCTTCAACACAGAGAGGATGTTCTTCTGAGACCAAAGCTTCCAGTAAAGACAGTGCAACAACAGAAACATGCATTAGGTACGATTCGGTGGAACCAAGAGAAACTCTAGTGAGGTTTATGAACAAGCTTTTTGTAAATTAAAGCTAAGCCAAAACCTTACATTTCGTTGGTGCATTATTGAATATCTAATTTGAAACTGGCTAGGGGTTGTTCTTCGTTCAAATGGAAATGCAACTGGACTAGACGGAGGTTCTTAAAGATGGTTCATCCAATCAAAGAAGCCTTTTGAGAATATCTTCAAAAACATCTAACATGCCAAAAAGCCTTTTTCGATTAACTTTAAACTAGGACGCAAATATTATTGGGGTTTCCAATTATCCCTAATATGCTTCACCGATGAAGCAGCAGGAATAATTCAGGGTTAAGTGTCTTGCCCGAGGACACATCGGATATGCAGAAGCTGGGGATTGAACCTCCAACCTTCCAGTTGAGAGACAACCAACTCTAACAACTGAGCCAAAGCCACCCCATACATTTTTGTAACCAAACCAAGATATGAATTTTACTTTCATAGGCCAAAAGGGAGCTCTTAAGCAATGTTATCCCATGAAGACCATTATGTGTCGAATGCTGTTGTATGTTGTCATTATTTGCCTTTATGTTTGAACAAACCTTTTTTTAACCCCTAATCTTGGCCAAATATGGCAGTTTGAGAAACGTACCATCACCTGAAATTTCATGGCAGATTATCGTCTGCCATCCAAAAGTGCAGTGAATGTTTAAAAGCATAATTTCATGTTGTTGATATTGGTTTTTTTTTCATTTTGCTAAGTTATATTCTCAAAGTGTGATTTGTACATTTTAACATATAACCAAAAAACATTCAGTTACATGTTTTAAGTTTCACAAATGTAAATTACTCTGTATGGAGAATAAAGTGAAAGGAACTGAAAGTGCATGCTGAGTGTATTTTTTATTTTTTTATCTCCTTTCAAATCCCTTTCTCAGGAATTCTTCCCTTTTTCTCTCTGATCTCTCTCAGGGGAAAAGGTTTCCTGAACATTTTCTGCAAAAACAGTGTCATCACATTTCTTCCCGCAGTCATACATGTTCCTGACAACAAGCAAAATGACAGCTAGAAGACACAAAATCATCACATCAGCACATCTGATGCAATACAAAAGCCTCTCAAACATTAGGTTCTCTTACTTTCAAAGATGATGAAGAAGGTGGTAACTTTTCTTTTGCAGCACTGTTGATGTCAAAATGTGTAATGTAATCAGATGATGATGGATGTGATGATAGATAACAGTGGTACCCATTAGGTTAGACAAAGATCTCTTTGTCTGTTACTAAATTGATCAAAGGTTGATAGGATAGCGTTTCCACTACGAGGACTGCCATCTTTAGGCTTCATAAAATCTCTTCAGAAACCATTGGGTGATGCAACTAAAACTACTTCCATGTTTTATTCAGTCCCATCTGATGACCAAATACAAACAGTGTCCAAGCAGCTCCGAGAGTTTAGGCAGATGGTACAATGCAAGCGGCATAACAATGTAACATAACAATGAGTAGCCTGCTCTTTTGTGAAGAGTCTCCAGATAACATCTGTTATGAATTGGTGCTTTATAATTGATTGATGAAATACAGCAGGAGCAGCATTTCAGGCAGTCCATCAAAACCGTCTAAAGATCGTCTCTGCTTCTTCAGGAACTGAACCTCTTGCTCCTACAGTTTGGATGCCTCTGCTGAATAGTTGAACCAATCAGGGTCAATCAGGTCCCAGTAACAACTGGATTAGTCCCAGGATTTCTCTGCAAGTCTCTGCAACATCAGCCTCTATGGCACAGGGGTCAGAAAGGACCCATTCCTGGTTGAAGATATACCAACTTGGAGAAGCAGCCCAATCCAGTAGCAACAGCTTGATGGCTCTCATACCCAGTAATCAGATTCATCAAAGTCAGCAGTCAAAATACAGTATTTTAATTAGAATATATTGAACTTGTACTTATTCTTAATTCAGCATTGTCTTTGCAGTGTTGTTGGTTATCCTTGCAGTAGGAGGCCAAACTGGACAGATCTACATGCACTTCCTCCAATAGGAAACAGGATTTCCTCCTGTCCTCTCTTTCTACTGATTTGTACCATCTCTGCACTCATAACCCAAAGCCTCTCAGACCTCCTGGGGGCTTCTATGCCAGAAAAACCCTTCACATCAGCAAAGTGCTGCACACTGCATTTAATCTGTATTTATTGTGGCGCAGTAAAAATTAACACATTCCTGATCACATGTGATTCTCCTGAATCGTTTTACGCCTGAAACTCATCCGAAGCCAGTCTTGCTTAATCTGATGCCGCTTTTTCTGGGTTCATCATCATGGCACAGAATTAGCTCAGACTAAAGTACTATTTATAATACAATAAAAAATAACTTTGATACAAGCAGTATATCAAACCCAACTTGGATAAACAAATAAAATAAATCCTCATTCAGTTTCTTTCATGCATTTAGTAAAAGTAGCCTGAAAAACAGTGGCAGGTAGGTTTACAGATTCTATTGGTGACTCTTGTGTTAAAATGAGATTAAATTGCTCTCTTTATAGTTCCTGTGCTACTCTGCCAGGAATTCTATGGAAGCTCATGGAAATTGCTGTCATTCGACTAAATGGCCTGTTACCCATGTGACAGGATATCCATCAATGTGACCCAAGGGGGGGGGAGAGAAGAGCACCAATGTCACTACTGCTCTATGTAACACACCTCAGCACACACCAGACCCCTTCTGAAAAACTCTCCCACAGCCTCATCCACTGTTGAGTGCTAACTACACACTAAGGATAATGTTACCCTGTTCAAACTTTGCCTTTTTCCTCTGTCTCCTGCAAGTCCTCTGCATCACTGCCGACATAGGTATGTATCCCTCACTTCTTTTTCTGTTTTTATTAACTTATTGGAGTTACTGGATTGTTAATTCTCTAGAAATTGTCTGTTGAAACTCTCTCTTCTCCTCTGTTTTAGACAGTGGCTCCTTCCTGATCTTCAATGAGAACCACAACAAGTGCATACGGGTGGAGAGTGCCAGCTCAGTAACAGTGGCCATGTGTGATCCTCGAGCCAAAGAGCAGCAGTTTCGTTGGGCCTCTGAATCACGCATCCTCAGTTTGTCTCTCAAGCTCTGTCTGGGGGCTACAGAGATTCAAGACTGGGTGAAGGTGGCTCTCTATGAATGTGATGAGAGTAATATCCTTCAACATTGGCAGTGCAAGAATGAGACCCTCTTTGGCCTTAAAGACCAGGACCTGCATCTGAACTGGGGAAACCGCAACGAGAGGAGCGTAATGATCTACAAAGGTTCGGGGCTCTGGAGCCGCTGGAGGATATTTGGCACTCAAGGTGACCTTTGCTCAAAGGGATTTCAAGGTAAGAGTTGTGGGGACCAAACCACTTTTACTGAAATGAGCTGAACTTAACCAGAAAGGGTGGATTTTTTTTCTCAGGGAGCCTTGCAATAAGAGTTTTCAATGCAAATCTTGTCATGCAACCACACAACTCAATTTCTCAGTGATAACAAAGTCATACTGGTTGTTTTCTCAAGATCTCTACATATTTATGTTGTCTTGAGATAAAATTTCTCATGATCATGAGATCATTTCTCAAGAGCTCAAGAAAATTACTGACATTACCTAGTAATCTCGGGAAAAACTGTTCTTTTAAATCTCGAGATAACAACATAAATGGAGTAAAATAAAAAGTATGGATGCATGTCCTTTTAGGGCTTCTTTAACATTCACATCAGTTACCAACTGAGAAGGTGTTGGTCCACAACTGATCATTTAGTGATGCTAAGTTAAATCCTCCTATTCAAGTTCTTCCGAGCTATTTTTGTTAACCATCAGATAACGGTCTGTTGAAATGAAGTCATTAAAATATTACAGCATTTGGAGAATATCCTTGAACCACAAAGTGTGACAGTGTTTACACTGAGTCAGTGTGGTAGTACTCAAAATCAGTCTTGGTCTAAAGACCGGCCTTTCGACCACTTTTTGAAGGTCTTAGTCTCGTCTCCGATTTGAAAGCATTTTTAGTCGGTTTTGTCTTGGGTCTCCACTGACCACCACTGACAAGCTACTTTCATCCACCACTGCAACCAATGTGTTACGGTCTAAATGAGTGATGCACCAGCTATGCCCAAGCTGATGATTTTTCACTGATATTTATGGTTTTGGTATTGTCTTGGTCTTGCCCTGCCTTGGTTTTGGCTTGGTCTCAATCCGTAAATGTCTTGGTCTCGGAGCTTTCTGGTCTCGGGTATGTCATGGTCTTGGTTTGTGTGGTCTTGACTACAACACTAAACTGAGGAATAAGTGCTTCAGGCCCAATACCTTTTTCACAATGGTGTGGATATTAGATATTCATTTTTTAAGACTGCTGAGAAAAGGTTGCACAGAATACCAGAAGAGTCTGTTGGTCCAGACCATGAATCAATTAATGTAAAAGTAGTCCTGTCAGTAAATGAGCTCAATCAAACAAATACACAATCATTCAGGCTTCAGGAAATGCAACACTACGGACAGCTGGGCAGCAAATTAGTGAAATGATGAATCTGATGGTTTTAACTCTATCCATTTGTATATTGGTATTTAGCCAAATGTGAGTGGACTACCCTCACTACTTAATTTTGGGTACTTTCCACCTGGGCTAATATCTAAAGGTATACAATAGTTTACACAACAGTGTGATTTTAAATGTAATTATCTGTGTCTCCTCAGAGGTTTTCACAATTGCGGGCAATAGCTTTGGAGGCCCGTGCAAGTTTCCATTTAAGTTTTTGGATAAGTGGTATGCTGAATGCACAAAGGACGGCCGCTCAGACGGACTGCTGTGGTGTGCTACAGAGACAGATTACGATAAAGAGAAGAAATGGGGCTTCTGTCCCACCAAAGGTAAGTGCGGGATATGTGTCAACCATTTCATATCTACTTTATAACTATCAGCATGAACACACCATGCAGAATTATCTCTTCACTAACAGAGAAACACCACCACTTCCTCTCCTGAGCTGTAAACACAGCACTGTCCTAGTGTCCCTCCTCTTAAAGGTCTGTCTTTCCCCTGACCCTGCTCTAAAACTAGAGCTCTAAATCTAGAGCAGGAAAGGGACAAAAAGGAAGCTAAATAATCTTTACCCTAGTTCTGTAAGTTTCCTAACACAGTCCTATATAGGGACACACTCTACTTAATAATATCACAAAACACCAATAAAGTTTGCTCAGCCTCATGTTGAATTTGAACTACATCCACAGTCAAGATGTGCAGCTGCATCACACAGGATGCCAAGTGTTGTAAGATGTGACAGATGTTTCATGTCATGTGTCTTGTAAGCTGCTACTGGATGTCTGAATTTCCCTTTTGGGATTAATAAAGTGTCTCACTCTGAGGTGCCTGAAGAATTGGGTTGACTCTTCATTTTAACCTCAAATGTTCCCGTCCAGCAGAGTATAAACGGCCTCTGTTATAAACAGTGACATGGAAGACTACTCTTGCATATTTAGTCAGCGTATACGAGCCAATTAGAGACAGAGTTGGAGAGTTCAACCCTTCACCATCCCAGGAGAAAAGTTGCAGCATACTACTGAATATTGTCAATCAATCGATGGTGTGAATCAGAGGGGATTTAGAAGTGGGTATACTCTGTAAACCTGTGTATACCCTGAACTACACCACTGATCTCACTCTCTCTCTTTTATCCAGATACAGATTTTTATTTGATCCTAAAAGATTTTGTTCTTCACTTTTTGATCTGAAAATGAGATTAATTCAATGGGCTTCTTTTTAAAAATGTTTTGTACCTTGTTTCTCTATATGCAGAGTCCTCAGGCTGGGACACTGACCCAGTCACTGGGGTTCAGTATCAGAGGAACCCAATGTCTGTGTTGACCTGGCATCAAGCCAGGAAGAGCTGCCAGCAGCAGGGAGCCGACCTCCTCAGCATTGTAGAACTACACGAACAGTCGTATATTTCAGGTACAATGTCAGCCGTGTGTCTCACTTACCCACAATAATATACGTCATCAAGCTTTCATTGACTTTAACTGCATTGGTTGAAACAGGGTTGACAAGTTCTTTGGGAACTGCTCTGTGGATTGGACTGAACAGCTTGGATTTTGAAAACGGATGGCAGTGGAGCAATGGAAACCCATTCAGATATTTAAACTGGGGCCCAGGTCAGTAAAGACAAGATATATACCATGACACGAGCAAAGCATTAGTGTATGTTTTGCTCATTCTTTAGGTGACTGGATGGATGATTAAAAACATTAAGACTTATTGAATGATCTGAATTTTACCACCAATTACATACACAATCAGAGAAACTTTATTTTAATTGTATACATGTTCTCATGATTAAGCATTCTTGAATTAAAAATAAATAAGAAGAGCAATGTGCCCAATAGGTCATCCCTCATCCGAGCCGGGGCTTTCCTGTGCGACACTAAATGCTGGAAAAGCCTCAAAATGGGAGAGCATGGCGTGCACCAAGAAACTTGGTTACATTTGTCGTAAAGGAAACTCTACAAGTCTGCCTCCAGTCCTAGGTAAAACACACTTGTTTCTACAAATCATCTGCTTCATTAGCAAGGGTATTATTCCGAGTTAAGAACATACTTTTTCTCCCGACTTTTGGTTTTATCCACAGACAAGCACCAGCCAAGCTTCTGTCCCAGTCACTGGGTTCCCTATGCAGGAAACTGTTACCACCTGGAGAGAAGTAAAAAGATGTGGAAAGACGCGTTGGCTGCATGTCACAAAGAGGGAGGAGACCTGGCGAGCATACACAATATAGAAGAGCAGAGCTTCATAATATCTCAATCAGGATACTGTAAGTGAGAAATATGTCATGACTATGGTTAAACACTCTGATTTAACTGTTACTCATTTTTAAGTAATAGTACAACATCTTCGAATGTGCTAAGTAACTACTACCAAAATGTACATCTGTATGTACGTATTGTAACCAGCTGGGGGAGTCCATGAGGGGCTCAGCTTGTAGAACATTATGTATGGCTGAAGCTTATGGGATATACAGTGTTTATAACTAAGATTATTAGAAGTGGGTTGGTGTATTTGATTACCTTTGGAAAGAGCCAGGCTAGCTGCTTCCCAACATTTCCAGTCAATAAGCTAAAATAAGCTAAAGTGATGCTTTATGCAATAGCTTCCTATTGTTGGACACAAATTAATAGTTTATCCTTTGCATTTAAAACTCTCAGTGCCCACAGACGAGCTCTGGATTGGCCTGAATGATCAGATGAACCAGCTGCTGTTTGAATGGTCTGATCGCTCACATGTCACCTTCACTCAGTGGCTGGCTGGTGAGCCATCTCATGCCACCAACCACCACGAAGACTGTGTTCTCATGAAAGGAAAGGTAACACTAATAACTATCCAAATGCAAAAGCAATGTGTACAATATGTTTGCTGCACACAATGTGCTGTTCTCAACTTCTCGTTTGTGGCTTATAAAGGCTGGCAGGTGGGCTGACCATGTGTGTGAGAAGACTTATGGCTACATCTGTAAGATGAAGGCGTCAACTGAACCAGCTGGGGGTGTCCAGGAGGAAGTAAACCCAGGATGCAAACGTGTAAGTGGTGTAACTTACTTCAAATACTGAGTGTCTGTAAACAATAACGCCTTTATCAGAGTCTCATGTACAGTGTGTGTTTTTCTTTTTAAGGGTTCGATCAGGTTTGGCTCTTTTTGTTACAACATTGGATTGAAGGCAAAAGCTTTTGAAGAGGCAAAGCAGGCATGCTCAGAGACTGGCTCTTACCTAGTGGATATACCTGACAGGTAGGATTTTATGTGCAGCTTTTTTTCCCCATTTCACCCAAATCAAATCAAATGCCATGTTGCCAAGAACACTGCTTAAAAAACTATTTTGTGAAAGAATTTCTCATCTCTCTGCTGTTTACTTTCTCATGCAGATATGAGAATGCCTTCTTGGTTAGTTTGGTGGGTTTGAGACCAGAGAAGTACTTTTGGATAGGTCTTTCTAACACAGAGGATATACACACGTTCAAGTGGACCACCAGAAGAAAAGTGTCTTTCACTCATTTCAACGTTGGCATGCCAGGTACAGGTTCAGTGCTTTTAAGCCATTTTAAAACAGGCTGATGTTACAAGTTATATATCTTTCATGAGTGCAGCTGTTTGTAATGTAATAGTTTACATAGTCTTTATTTTGTTTACATAAACGACAATGCTCTTTGCAGAGTAAGGTAGCATTTCGTTGGCGGCACCACCATGCCCTTGAAGCATTTACTATTATTGGCTGTTGAGTAATTTATTGTTTTAGATGATCTTTTCTTCTCTTCATTGACCTTAACAAATTCCTTGCCAATCTTTAGCATGTTTGACCAGTTTATGGATATTCTTCTCACATCTTTTGGTCTATTTACAAACAGACAGACATAAAGGATGTGTTGCTATGACAACTGGACTTTTTGCTGGCTTATGGGATGTTGTCAGCTGCAACAACAAGGAGAAGTATATCTGCAGGAAACCAGCAGAAGGTGTACTGGTGACAACAGTTCCACCCACCACCCCAGCCCTGAGCTGTGAGCCCGGGTGGACCCCTGTTCCTGACAGGAACGTGTGTTATAAAGTAGGTGTAGGTTATAAACTGTGAAAGCAATGTAGTTCTAGGAGCATTAAATAGGTACTCACACTGTTTTTTTTCCATCAAAAGCTTTACAAAAAGATAAACAGCCTAAAGAAGACTTGGCATGAGGCAGAAGACTTCTGCAAGGCCATTGGAGGAAACCTGATGAGCATACACAGCGAGAAAGACCTGGACAACGCTCCGTATGTTGGCTTCACTGTTTGTTTGTTTTTACCTCATTAAGTATTACTTTACTTAATGCCTTAATTACTGCTTGTGCTTGCTACTGTTGTGAAGGTTTCATTTATCTGACCCATCCTGGATTGGCTTCAGCCTTGGTACCAATGAAGGTTTTGTCTGGAGTGATGGATCAGCTGTATGTACTACTACATTGTTTTTTATAAAAGCTTAACTCACGTTCATTTTCAACCCTGGACTAATTATGTTTCATATTCCCAAACTGTGAGCTAGTCCAGCTACGAGAACTGGGCCTATGGGGAACCAAACAACCACAATGACAATGAACACTGTGCAGAGGTCTTTATGTACTATGGACGCTTCTGGAATGATCGCATTTGTGAGGGCTACAATAATTGGATATGCCAGATTAAAAAAGGTAACATCCACCAGTCTCATTATGGAGCTTCTGTTCCATAAAGCCGAGTGTCCAAAGTAGCTTTGTGATGTGAAATTAGAGCTTTGCCCAATGTGTGACACATTTTCTTTGTGGTTGTTGTACTTTCAGGTGTGACTCCCAAACCTGAGCCGACGGTTGCTGAAACAGGTAAGCACTTATCTCTAAGGTTGGCAATGCTGGTCTGTCATTTTCTTTTCTTTGTGCTACTTTCAATCAAATATGGATTAGATCAGTAGTTTTCAACTGGACTAGCTGAAGGACCCAACACCAACTTGTTCATGAAAATTTGCGACCCAAATGTTTTCAACCGCTCAGATTTATTTATTATCATCATAGCTCTTCTGTGTATCTGTGGGACATCTGATGACAGGTTTACCTCCCTTTACAGTTTGGAACACCACTGAAGATGGCTGGCTCATAAACAATGACACACAGTACTTCATCAACAACGAAGAACTGAATATGGAAACTGCCAGAGCCTTCTGCAAAAAAAACTTTGGTGAACTGGCAGTTATCACCGGGGAGAGTGAGAGGAAGTACCTTTGGAAAAAGGCAAGATGTTATGAGTACTTTTTAACGAAAACAAAGCATCGATGTTGGCATATTCCTAATTTGAATTTTATGTCACTATTGTACTTATGTTCCAACAGATTATCAAAGGTTCATGGGGTCAGTACTACATTGGCATGACAGTAAACCTGGATAAGTCATTTAGGTAAATCAAAGCATATCGTTTTGGCACAACTCTCTGTAAACTACCTTCTTTTCATTGACCTCCCATAATAGTCTACTGTCTATTAAAGGTCACATATTCTACTTCTTTTCAGCAAGTTTAAATGAGTCTCAAAGCTCCCCAAAACATGTCTGTGAAGTTTCTGGTTCTAAATCCACTCTGACCCTGTATTTGATCATGCCTATAAACCCCTCTATTTCAGCCCTGCTCAGAACAGGCTGTTTCTGTGTCTGTACCTTTAAATGTAAATGGCCTGTGTCTGACCACGCCCCTCTCTGGAAGGGCTTGGGTGTCTTGGGCTTTCTCGCTCCGTGTCCTATTGTTTACAGTGAGAAGGCAGACTCAGAGGGCCGAACAAACACCTAGCTGTGGGAGGGGGAGGGGTTACTGCCCTTTGTGATGTCATGAAGGGAAAATCTCCAAACGGCCTGTTTGAGCACACATTTTCTGAAAAGTGAAGCAGGCAAAAGACAGAGAGGGTGGTTCTTTCTAATAACTAGGGTTTGATGACAGACTAGGGACACATATTAGTGTCAGAGAAACATGGAGAAGTGTATTTTACATAATATGTGACCTATAAAGGTAACACATCAGAGTACACACATACAGATGTTGTCAAGTGTTTTCTTCTAATTCTGATTCTCATTCTATGCTTTTTTTCCATTTGTAGCTGGCTGGATGGCACACCTGTAACATACACAGCCTGGGAAAAGAATGAGCCTAACTTTGCTAATAATGATGAAAACTGTGTGACAATTTACAAGGGAATGGGTAAGTCCAACACTGACACACTTCAAATGATTGGGGAACAAATTAGTGATGAATTTCTTTTTATAACCTGTTTTATTTTTCTGACGACTCTCTAATGCAGGGTACTGGAATGATATTAACTGTGGTTTGGAGCTGCCCTCTATTTGCAAAAGAAGCAGTAGTTTTATTAATACAACAGTAGCCCCGACCATGGCTCCAAAGGGAGGATGTGCCCCAGAGTGGATATCTTTCAGAGGGAAGGTAAAGTAACTGTGAACAACACAGAATATTAATAACAATGCTGAAACTGTCCTTAAAGTGAATTTAAAACAAGCTGCAAATTAATCTTGGTTCACACAGTGCTACAAAATAGTTGTTGGAAATGACAAGAAGAACTGGCAGGATGCTCGGGCGTACTGCTTAAACCAGGGTGGAAATCTGGCTTCAGTTCGAAATGAGAACGAGCAAGGTGACTTTTTACAAGTGTTGCTAATATTTAAAAGACACTTACCTTTGTTGGTATTTTTTATTTTTTTGTACTATTCATTGACCTTTCACTGTCTACAAACCACGATTGTGTGAAGTTGAAGTTCATTTTTCTCGTTCTCTAGCATTCCTAACAACACAGATGCTGAGATACAATGAAGATATGTGGATCGGCATGAATGATGTCAACTGGGAGATGCACTTTGTGTGGACGGACGGCAAAGGCATTTCATACACAAACTGGGCAAAAGGGCATCCTACGAGAACGCCGAATGGACGTTATGACTCAATGGATGAGGTTATTTCAGCTTTAACTTCTATATCCCCTATTGCCCTTAAAGGAATAGAACAAAAAATGCGTGGTCAAGATTGAAAAAGTTGTCTCAGGTGTAGCTGCTTTCAAGCTGCGACGTTGCATGGGGAACATTTTTCAGGAAGCCAAGTGAGACACCTCTAATATGCATTCATGCATTTTGGAGGGAGGGGGCTGATTTAGAAGGAAATGTAACTCAACCAGATGCACTATTATAGCTCCCATTTTACAGAGAGACTTGTTGTAGCCCTTTGTTACATTAGTTGTTAATGATCAAAAGAGCAATCCAAACTATCCAATACTGACAGAAAAGCAAATAAAACATCATTGTTGCAGCACGGCTATTTTTGTCATCCGAGCAATTTACTTCTCTATTAGAATACTTTCAATCATCCACTATTAATTTCTCCAAGAGTTGAAATGATAGAAATCAGTGAATCTATGTTGATTTACAAGGATCATCTGGATTGATGGAACTAATGCAGTCGGCCTTCTCTGGTTTTAAGGTGTTTGACTGTGTGATAATGGTGGGCAGTGCCTCCAGAGAAACTGGGCATTGGAAAGTCGAGGAGTGTTACTCAAAATTCGGCTTCATCTGTAAACGAAATGTTGGTGAGTTAAATTTCAGCAAGGCTACATTAGCATGAGTGACACTAACAGAACTCATCCTGAAGCATTGAGTAAATTCTACCTGGTGACCCATGTCAGTTACAACTGGTGTTTTTTTGTCAACAAAGATTCTCAGATTGCAGACCCCGCCACGACTGTGTTACCAAAGGCTTTCTACAAACTGGGCAATGACTCATATAAAGTGGTGGCCCAGAAGATGAGATGGGACGAGGCGAGGAGGCAGTGCCAAGCAGACGATGCAGATCTCGCCAGTATCCTAAACCCCATAACTCAGGCATACATCACATTGCATATTTCCAAGCTCAAAGAGCCTGTGTGGATTGGCCTCAACAACAATGTGGTAAAGGGCTTACCTCTTAATACATAGCATCAACTCAAACAGGATTTTAAAAGTTTGGATGAAGAACTTTGAGGAATGAACGTGACAGCTTACTTTCTTTCCACAGACCAATGGGCGGTTCAAGTGGGTTGATAACTGGCTCCTGTCATATACCAGATGGGGCATAGACGAGCCCAAAAACAACTATGCTTGTGTGTATATGGATGTGGACGGAAAATGGAAGACTTCAGCGTGTACCAATACTTACTATTCGATTTGCAAGAGGTCACAAGGTCAGAAAATCTTTCTATTAGTTCTCCTGCTATCTATACAGTGATTAGTTAGGTTGTCATCAAGTTGTTTGCTTTTTACTAGTATCACACCTACATTAAAACTCTTGATAATCAATGACATCTCCTGTCTCATTTTTAGACATCGCACCCACTGAGCCCCCACAACTACCCGGCAAATGTCCAGAACCACAAGGACGAACAGCCTGGATACCTTTCAGAGGCCACTGTTACGCCTTCCTCAGCTATTACGATGGCAATTGGCCCTCTGCCTCAGTCGAATGTCTGAAAAATGGTATATATGAAGAATTTCCACCACTAAAATATAATTTGTCTGTATAAAATCCTCACAGTGCTTTATTGTGGCTTTGTTAATCAGAGGCTGCTCTGGTAAGTATTGAGGACCCTCAAGAGGCTCTGTTCATACAGCAGAACCTAAACCTTCTACAGGACAGTGTCAAGTCATTCTGGATCGGCCTCTACAAGACTCATGAAGGTGAGCTCAGCTTACTGTAGTTAGAGTTGCAGCCTCACTTAACTACACACAGTACTTGACAACATCTTTACAAAAGTTGAGAGTTGTTACAATTCAAACATTTAATTTTAAAGGTCACATATTATGCAAAATACACTTTACCACAACACTGTATATGTGTCCCTAGTCTTTCTACAAACACCACAGTTATGAGAAAAGTCCAGCTCTGATACTTATTCAAACTGGTTGAAAAGAAGTATTATATATATATATGACCTTTAAATCTCAGCATTAAACAAGTCTCAGGCTTACTTAAGATCCATAAACATGCCGTTATAGCTCTACTGTCATTTCCTTTTCCTTGGTCAAGGTGAGTGGAGGTGGTTCGATAACAATGTTGTGGACTACACAAACTGGATGAACGAAAAGCAGCAGTCAGACTCATGTGTGGAGATCCTTTCTGAAAGTGGACAGTGGAATACAAACAGATGCTACAGAAGTAAATCTTGCATCTGCAAAAGGGCCAAAGGTATGTTTTTTTTCTATTTGTGTCATGCACCTTTAAATTAACTCATCAGCCTCTAACTTTAAGCTTTTGATCAATTTCTTTCAGTTATTCCCCCAACAGAAAAGCCACCATCTGTTGGTAAGTTATTTAACATGGGTTATATATCAGTATGATGCTACAAAACTGAGTAATGTAACTAATAATATTTTTCTCTTTTGCCTCTTAGCTCATGTCGTGAAAGAAGCCTCACACGGGTCTGCAGGCATCACTGTGGCTGTCGTACTAGTTGTAATAGCCGTAGTTGGACTTGGTGCCTTTCTTTTCCGCAAACGGATACCCACCCCTGTCTTGGGAGAAAGCACCTTCGACAATAAATTATACTTCACCAATCCAATCCGAGCCCCTGTAGACACAAAGGGTCTCGTGGTAAATATAGAGCAGAATGAGCAAGCATAGACAACATGGGAACAAAGGCAGTGACTGTAAAATCCACAAGTGACTGTTTCTTGGTTTTCTACTTTATTTTTGATCACGTCACTGAGAACTTAATTTCAATAAAAACCTGTACTGTCTTTCAATTCAAATACTTTTCCATACAAGCACTGGCATTGAACTAAATTAATTAGGGACATGAAGGTGTAATCTATAACAGTTTCCATAAGATTATTATTTCATTTGTGAAATGTGTACAGATTTTGATTATTGCAACCAATCAGGTTCTTCTTTGGAGAATGTTTAAGATCAAGCTTCAGATGTTTTATCAATGCAAGTAAGCAAGACATTTCTCAACTGGGTTATTGTTTTGTGAGCATTCTACGAGGGCTGTTCATTAACTTCTTTCATGCTTACAGAATTGTGAATAGATACTTATTAAATAAATGGGAAAAAACTGACCTGACTTGGCCTCTTCTTTATCTTAGTTTTGATATTTGGCAGGCATACTGTTTCATTTGTTCACTATCTTAACTTGGGCTGCACGGTGGTGCAGTGGTTAGCACTGTTGTTCTAGTACAAATCCCAGTTGGACAGGAGACTCTCTGTGGCATGTTCTCCTGCATGCGAGGGTTCCCGGCGAAAAGTGGAAAAGATAATGGATGGACTATCTTAACTTATAAGGTTAGCACACTACTAGCTTAGTGTTAACATGCTAATAAACAGCTGAGGCAGATTGGGATGTCTTCAGTATATTTACTCAGATTCATATTTCCATTTGATGATGATGCTAGATGAAACTGGGAATGTTTTAAAAGTGTTCTTTATTACTGATAGAGGCACATATACTAGCTTAGTTGGAATATTAGAACGAAATCGAAATGGTGAACAAAATACTTTTTAAAATGTTTTGAGTAAATAATTGGTAGGAATTAACCCAATGACAGAATGCAAACTATCAATGGATTGTCTGGTGATTTATTTACAATTTAGTAATGATTAATTCTGAATTTCAAATACATTTTAATTTCTGGCTACAGCTTATTAAATACCACCTGCAGGCGTCTGGCTACCCCTGTCACCTAATGTTGAAAATGAGGCAGACCTTCAAGGCTGTCGCAACTAATCCTCAGCTGCTGACTCAACTCTTACTTGTCGTAAGAGGGTTTTAACAACGGCACCAATTCCTGATAATTCTCCCCAAACAAGCCCTGGACATTCTGTTGTTCCAACTGGAGGAGGGAAACAAACCTAGGTGTAGCAGCTGAGAGAAGCAGAGTGGAGAACAGTAAGCATCTTTTTTTTCATATCTGGTTTGTCTCAGGCTTGGCTGCATCTTGTCTCCTCTCATTGATCGGTCTGTTTGCCCTGCACGGTGCACAGTGTGGGCGTATGGTGGAAAGTTGCCAGAACACTTTGGCATGTTTTGCTCAGTGTTTTTTGATCTTTCATGACTCAGAGATCATACAGCATAAGAAATCTTTAATGTGAATGTCCCAGGTGCTTTTCTACATTGGATGGGGAGGGGCTCATTTTCAAAACAAACTACTGCACATGCACTAGGCTCCTTCCTGAACAAGTAATACAGTTGAATAAAGAAACCACAACATCATTTAGACAAACTTAAACACTGACGGCTGAAGAAAAATAAAGATTTATCCACATTTGGGTTACAAACCCAAGAGGTTCCGTTACATATGAGGCTTTTGAACAGCACTTTAGGAGAAAATGTGTTGTTTTACATTTGAATCTCTGTCTATGTCAGCCACTGAGTTACAGGTAATAGCCTTTTCACTCGTCCTTGGTTCACTCAATACTAATTATTTTCTCTCCAGTCTCCCCCTTCATGCCCCCTTCTCCCTGCCCCTGTGCTCTCTCACTAATCCTTTTGTTGTGGACCGAGGGGCCCAAGCTTTGGCTGACTATTTGGCACTGTAAGAGCTGGTTCAGCTGAGGGGTGCCTACAGAACCATCCTGTACTCCAGCATATCAGGGGTAGCTTTTATAGACGTCTCCCACTACTCTGCTTCTGTAAAAGCTTTCTGCCCTCTCTCCTCCTTAATTCAAACTTCTCTCTAACTTCTATTGTAAGTATATTTTTTATTCATCATATCCTTGTTTTTCTCAACCCTGCGGCCAGTGCTGGGAGAGTAAGGGAGTCGGACTGCCTTGGTGACCATGCACTTCAGGGGCCGTTGTCCCACTTTGTTGTTGCTGCTACCTCTTTGGCTGCTGGAGAACGTGCACGAGGTGGCAGGGCAGGAGAGGGGGTACATGCAGGAGGCTCTCAGGGCCTTGAATCTGCCCCTGGGTGCCGATGACAAGCCACAGCTCCTGAGGAACCACACCAGTATCCTGATAACCGAGCTCCTCCGGGCAGTGAACTGTGCAGAGCAGACTGGTACCTCTCAGGACTTTTGTGACAAGGTAAGGCCTACAACTTTCTTTATATGATCAGAGGAGTATCATAATAAATTGAGCTATAACTTTTACATCAATATGTTGAGTCCTTATTATGTCTCCTTTCATTCCTGCCTGCTTATTTCAAGCTTGTTATGACTGGAATGTTAGTGAATGTGGAGGCTTAAGTCCTTGACCTGTATTGGGCATTCATGCTGAGTGGCTTTAGACATCCCCTAGTTTGACCTGATAAACTGCACGAAACAGAGTTAAGGGTACTTTACATGTTTGTGCAAGTGGACTGGCGATAGGATTAGGTATTTCTCAAACCTTCAAGCGAGATTTGCATAAGTATAGAGAGCAACTTTAGAATTAGTTTTTCCTAAGGTTTCCTTATTAGCCAAAATGTCCACATTCCTTTAATATGTGCAATATGTAAAACGTTATTAAAATTGTAACACTAATATATCCAAATTCATTTAAAATGTTTTGTTATTGTCTTCAGTGAGAGCCCCCCCTGGTGGCAGAATTTACATACTGAGCCTTTAATAGGAAATGTGGTTCAAATATTCTCCTACCCTTATATATTCTGAATGGGGGTCTAATGTGTATGAACTTGTCCTCACCACAAACAGCAACACAAAGCTTCTGCTTTTCTCAAGAGCAGAGAACACTGCATGTAAAAAGCTCATTTGTAGGCGGACTTATTTCCACCACATGCTAATCTAATGTCAATACTCGAATGACCAGGGACTTTGAAACTTTCTGCCTAAAAATGGTCCTCTCCCTCCTGCATGTTCCTGTTCCAGTGCTTGACAACAGACGTTGCCCTCGCTGTGCTAGAGGACGATCAGAAGGCTTACCTCAATATGGAGGACTACCAGCAGATCTCTATTGTACTGCTGTACTACATAATCAACTTGCAAGATCTCTGTGTAGCAAATGCAGCATCTCCTTTCTTGCTTTCCTCCGACGCCTCTTCTGAAAACTACGAGCATTATCTCTTGGCTCTCACCAATCTACATCCCGCTGAAGACAACAGCTTCCTCTCAACCAGTGAAACAGAAAGCATCCTGCAGCTCATCAACCAGCACTATGACCCCTCCAATGCAGATTCTCCTTATGATTTTCAAGTAAGGAATTTTATTCTGAGATCTTTCCTGTCAAGAAAGGTGCATGACAGGATGTGATAATTTGGCCTTTTGATCCCACAGTGTATTGATGCCATTCGCCTCTTTAAAGACGTGAATGTGCAAGAAAGTGAAGGTGCTGGTATGTCGTCTGTGCCCAATGTGGCGGCAGCAATCATCAGCCATATTCTGCAGGGCCACTGTTTCGGACCGAAGGACCTCCCGTCTCCTGCCTTCTTTACAGACTACATCTTCCAGTCCCTAAATCGCACCACTAACCTGCAGATAACAGGTCAGTATGCAAGTGGTCATCTTCTGCCAAAGGCTAACTCCTCTCTTTCCAAAGCTACTAAAAGCCCAATTTATTTCAATCATCTGTTTGATATATAGCTCAATCATGACAAAAATGCAAAACCCCAACAACCTTTGTATCTTTAGAACTCGTCAGTATAATTTTTTTCAGGCTCAATTTTCAATTTAATCTGCATAATTTGTCATAAGTCCCTGCCATACAGTGACTGATTTTGCTGAATTAGACCTTGTGCACAGTAGCGTGATATAGTGATTTCTTTCTTAAGACTTAGAGGAGTTGCTTCATCAGCTGGGAATAGGACGAGGAGACAGCACACACTCTCATTACAGCAAGAGGGAGAGCATCGCAGGAAGTTCACAGAATGGGGCCGGACACTTCCTGGATGGTTGCAACCATGAAACAAAATTAGGCCATGACTGGGGAGAGGTGAGGAATGATGCATGCATTTGATTTGATCTGATAGTGAATATTATCTTATTTGTTTTTGCGGCCCTGATAGTCATGACATCATTGTTTTACCTGACGTGCAGCTGCTTTAATGCTCGATACCTTTTCATAACTCTGTCTTCCATATTTGAATCTTAACAGGTGTGTTTTTCAGCCAATCAGCTGGTGGATATCTTTGAATTGAATCATACTTCGCCAATTTCCAAAGAGCACTTCAGACAGATTTGCCCCGCCATCATTCAGCAGTTGCTTGGCAATGCCTGTGAGTCTGCAGAGCAAAGCAGACAAGGAGCCCTACCCACGCCTTTTGAGAGTAAGATATTTAACCTGGGTTCTTTTTTTTTGTGACCTTTTTAATTGGATTAAGAAAAAATGTTTGATTAAATATTGTTTAAGGTCATCAGCAACATACCGGTGCAGTAAAAAGTTCAAGAAATTTGTTTGTAATTCTGATTGACTAAGCAGCCTAAATAGACTGCTAGAGGAAATCATGTTCTTTGGTCTAATAGGTTTAACTGTTTGCACAATTTAGGCATTTAGGTATAGGCCAAAAATGCATACAGTTTCAAAACTAAATGGATAACGAATTTCTTAAAAGGAGCAATCTTTAGGATATCTTCTGAATTAATTGATAAAGTGACCTTACTATATGATCAGAAATTAAGGAAACATGCTATGTTGAAGTGCTTCTCTGACAACAATGCAGCAGCCAGTATGTCCTCCTCCTAACTTTAGATTCTGCTCCTGAATGCTCTGGATTTGTTTGGACCAGAGAAGGTAGACTGTTTTAAGGCACCCCCCCCCCACACAGCCATTTTGGACGCCCCTCGATTTGCCAGATATGAGACCAGTTATCAGGTCAACCCAACAGGTGTTGCAGCGATGGAAGCGGGCAAGAGAACTGGCTCAGATAGAAGTGATTGTACCCGACCTAAAAAGCCTCTGCATGTTTCTAATAAGCTCCACGAGCAGAAACGTGCTCAAACTAGGATCAATATTGGAGATGCTTTTGAAAAATGGAGAGAGGTTAGAACACAGAAAGGTTTACAGACCGATGCAGAGCTGGATAAACACTGAAGCTTCAGTGTCCACCACATGGCAACCTGCGTGAGCATCGACTCTAGAGAGGAGGGGGTGGGGGAGACAGCGCTCTTCATTGTTTTGAATCTGGACTGCAGTACCATCTTTCACTATCTTATGAACAAGCAAAGGGCACAGACGGTTTTGACAATATTTTGTCTTTTAGTAACCCTCCGCTCTAGCGCCACCCTTAATCCAAATACTGTCACTTATGGCTCAAGGAAAGCAATATGTTGACAGCATGAACTGACAGCTGAGTTCTCTGCTTCAAAAATTCAGTTGACAACCAACAGGTGACGCCATGGTTGATGTCTGTTATTTATACAGTCTATATGTTATAACCTCAAAGCCTTCTCTTCCCTACAGAGTATGGCTATAGCACGGCTGCCGTCCTGCTCATAACTGTTGGCTCCATGCTCGGTATCTGTCTGATCTTCTTCAACTCCTGTCAGGAAACCTACACCCTCATCCTGCAGCTGTTTGTGGGCCTGGCAGTGGGTACCCTCTCAGGAGACGCACTCTTACACCTCATACCACAGGTATAGGACACAGAGCCACTTACATTGCACTACATGTACTACAAGATGCTACTCCCTGTTGACTGGAGCTAATGTCTAATTGTTTCTCTCTTTGTCTCCTTTGGAGATCCTTGGCCTCCATCATGACTCTCACAGTCATGATGATGAACTCTTGACAGAAGAGAAAGAGTACCTGTGGAGGATTCTTGGAATAATCGCAGGGATCTACGGCTTTTTCCTAATTGAAAGGATTTTTTCCTTTTTGGTTCCTTCTCATGGCCATGTAAGACTTTTCATTTTCTCGACAATTATCTTTTAAATCCAACAGATACGGATGTAAATACTTGAACTGTAGTATGTAAAGGGGAAGAGGCTGATGTTTGAATGTCTTTATCATGTCAGAGGTTGAACTTTTAGAGTTTACCATGAACAAACACATCTGTGCTTTGGCCGATTGTTGGTCTCGTGACTTTCTATTGTTTGCAGGGTCATTCTGGGGACCTTCCCTTACAGCTTAAATGCAATGGTCAGTCACAGAGGGGCAAGTCAATCTCCACTATTCAGCTGGTGAGTCTCACCGCTACCCAGACTGATTTTCTTTTTGTTGTTGTCATTTTTTGTGGGAAACCCTGATTCCTGACATTATTCCTGTTATCTGTACATGAACAAGAAGAGAAGAAGCCTTTATTACAAATCCATTTAAACAGACCCAGGGTGTCTTTTGGTTATCTGGCTTCACAAAATGAGATCGCGCTAAACACTCAGACGAAACTGGATATCAACATGATAAGTCAACCAGGAGTTTCTATGAGTGTGTTCAATTAAAAGGGTGGGAGGGGGCTTCAAATAACCATCATGATCATGCAGAGTTTCCAATCAGAAGATCATCAAGTTTAAACAAAACTCAGGGTAAGCTATGATATTAACAAATGAGGTAAACACCTAATTCAGACTTTTAACAACACAGCTGCAGCGACAAATGCGGGAAGAACTGTTTGGAAAAAAGCCGCATCTGCACCAATCTGCAAATTTTACCCTATGACGATTCACAACCACAAAACTCTCGGCTCAAGCAACAAGAAAGCACTAACACACGTGTTGTAAACAGTACTCATTCTCTGCTAGGGGGCACTGTCAGCAGGAGAACCACCTTTTGATTGTGGCACATTTTTGCACATGTATACATCAGTAAAAAAAAAAAACATGACTACACTATAGAAGGAATCTGAACACATATTCAGTAGATAAAGGAATGTATGAATTCACTAGATCCATGTTTTTAAAAAAGCAGACTGAAAATGCACTCAGATCAAATTCGACCTGTGCTGTTCTTATATAACAGGAGATGAAGAGAGGTGTGGGAGGGAGTGAAGGAATAGGGCATGTAGGATGTTGGAAAATGAGAAGTACTGAATCATTCAGAAAGCACTTCATGTCGCGTGGAATCATGCACAAACAAGTGAAAACATATTTAAAAAACCAGAACAATTTAAACTACAAACCAGTCCCGTTTGTTAAACTTTCTTACTTTCTCAAGTCAGATTTGTCGAATGATTATGTTTGCTGCAGGGATCAGTGGAAGACTTGGAGTGTGCAGAAACGTCTCCCCAACGCACAGAAACGAGGAGGCCTTCACATCAGAGTAAGCAGGGTCAGTATATATGAGCTTCATGCTGCAGTTGAATTGTGATGGTCTTTGTAATAATTAGTCACTTGGCATGACAGAGAAATTGTCACGGTCGGAGGACGGGCTTTAAAGACACAGGCTCTCTTTGTGTTCCCAGGACAAGGGGTTCCTCTGCTGGCTGTGATGGTAATTGTGGGAGACAGCCTTCATAACTTTGCTGATGGCCTTGTTGTGGGAGCGGCCTTCTCCTCTTCAGCAGAGACTGGCATGGCGACCACCGTGGCCATCCTGTGCCACGAGATCCCCCATGAGATGGGTGAGAGGTCACAGGACTTACTATGGGGAGGCTTTTTTTCTTTTTGTCGGTGTTTGTTTTGGCCGAGGCCAGGAAACACTTTTCTGATGACTGTTGACTTGATGTTTTCTGCTTACTGTCTCAAAGGGGACTTTGCAGTGTTGCTCAGCTCCGGACTCTCAGTGAGGACTGCTGTGCTTATGAACTTCCTCAGTGCTCTGACGGCCTTCATGGGTCTGTACATCGGACTGTTCGTGTCCGCAGAGATGGAGGTGCAGCAGTGGATCTTCGCGGTCACTGCTGGAATTTTTCTATATTTGTCGCTGGTAGAAATGGTAAGGTGGGGCTTCTTAAGGTTTACACTGGTGATATTCTTTATTCTCTTATTGTCAATGAATCCCATGAAAATACTGAACCCAACAATTTGTCCGGATATAATTCATCGCTTGTGGAAAAAATAATCCTGAAAAAAGTAAATAAATCACTGAGCTACACCACTGTACTTATTCCTACAATCTACTTAGTATAAGTCTGACAGGCAAAGCGGTCTTATACCACATAGCAGTGAAACAAGCACTCTCTGTAGATGTGGTTGCACATAGAAATATTGTGGTATAGCTCAACTACCACAGAATCCTCCAACTATGGCAGTGTCACTAGTTTCAGGTTTCCCACCAGGCTGAGCAAGCGAGTGTTCCCGGGATCGTGTAAGAAAAAACAGTCTGATAGGGCTGTGGGAGTCTATACAGCAAAGCGCTAATCTGTCTGTAAAATAAAATAAAAAAGCATTTTTAGAAAAGGTAGAAAGCGGACCTGTTTCAAAAGTTCTGTAGAAGGACCGAGAGATTGTCATGGACAGCGGAAGAGATTTCAAAAGTACTGAGAGATAGACAACCACATCAACGGGATACCTCGACATTAAAAAAACAGAAAAACCACCAGCATTAACGTAAAACATTCTAGTCAATACTGTTCATCATTTTGTTTTGTCTTTTCTTTTAGCTTCCTGAGATGAGTCGAGTGAAGACCGACAGACCATTCCTCTTGTTTGTCCTGCAGAACCTCGGCCTGTTGATGGGTTGGGCCTGTCTTCTGCTCCTTGCTCTATTTGAACATGAACTCAAATTCTAAAACATCACGCATTATTTAAAGGAAGAATGTGCAACTTTTTGATCCAGCAGATGTCGCCCTTGAGCTCCAGCATGAAACCAAAACAAACTGCTGTTTGGCTGAACCTCCTCCATACTGAAGCCTCCGCTCTCCTCCAGCGACACCCCTCCAACCCCTCTCCCCTCGTGTGTGTTCACCACAATAAAGCACCATTAAGGGCCAGCCTGCATTGTTGTGTTAGCATGCTAATGTTAGCGCTCTTTAGTTAGCTCATACCCTCACATTGCATGTAAATTGGCGCAGAATGACAGTGATCTAAAAACTCTTATTCAAATAATCAGTGAGTATGTTCTTCTTCTATCTAGTCCTTGACTAAAACAGCTTTTATACAAAAGGGGAGGAGCCGGCCGTCCCGTCCATGTAAACACAGCTCTGACAACAACACAGCCAGCGGGACTCGAGCTTCTCACTCATTGTAGACAGTCATGACTCAGAGACACATTTACACAGGATAGACTGGATCTCTGATATATTTATGTGTAAAATGTCGCACATTCTTCCTTTAACCCTTTTTATAATTTGCCTTGACCAGTGAATAACCACTTTCTGCTCACATGCAAGTTTCACTGTGTGCAAACAGGATGTGAAAATCATTATTGGTCTATTTGTAAGTATTTATGATGTTTTAGCCCGAGCACTGAATGATAAATGAACGTTAACTGAATGAACCCCCATTTTTTTTTTTATACTTGTGATTTATTTGTATATATTAGCTAACATGAGTGCCTGCATTTGGACACTAATAGAGCTTTCACACTTTAAGAAAACACCTAAAAAACTCCTGACATTTGCCAGAGGAGCTCTATGTGTGAACGCAAACAACCAAATGTTTCTCTCCTTCACTACACCTGGAGTTTCTCCTTCCAGACCACTAGTGTTCTTTCCCCAGCAAGTCAGATTGAGCTACGATATAACTATACCCTCATACAATCAAATCATTTATTTTTGAAGAAATTTGTCACTAGTCAAACATAAAGAACTGTATATCTATCTATCGTAATATGGTTTGTCAGTGTCTTCTTTCTCTTTATAACTTCCATTTTGATATGTGCATTAATGGGACTTTAGTGCTTTCGAAGGTTATAAAAAGTGATAACCACATTTCTACTTACAGATAAATCACTGCAGACTGGTGTATTGGCAAACTCTTATTCGAGGTGCAAAGAAAAGAAAAATGCCTCTTTGTGAGGAATAAGCTGCTCCTAAAATACATCTATTTAAAAGCCCTGTTTGTTGAAATGTTGCTGTCTTCGGGCTTCTCATCTCCGAGGCATTGTTCTTTGTTTTTAGGGTCTCTGTGTGATCCAATATGAGGGCACTTCCACCCACCTGAGTTACTTGTTCTCCATCCACCAACCTGGATGACTAATGCTCACTGTACAAGACAGAAACTCCGGCCCACACAGCACACATGCTCTTCAGCGGCCAGAGTGGGCCTGCAATAGGAGGTGGAGAAAGACGAGAATATGAGGAGTACATCGGTACAATGAGATAACAAAAACACAGTAAATCAACTTAGTTGTTGATGAAATTGGATTTGTGTTGTTAGAAGTATTAAGAGAAGATTTTCTGCCATTTTTAATCAGCTTGCTTGCAGATGTTACAGAATCGATTTGGCTGCAAAGCTAAGATGACAGTTTTGAAAGACACCACACCTTAAAGCTCAGGTGGTGTTCAGGGCTTTGATGGATGTGGGGACAAAGGAATTTTTAAAACGGTCGTTCCTGCCTAAGGCTACCCTGCATCATCGGCCTCAGGGGAAGAGCTGGTACTTAGGGTGGAGAACATGAGATGGGTCTCAGATTATTTGTTATGCCTGTCTGATTATGGTTTGTTGAAAAATGTCCTGGAGTCTGGGAGGTTGACTCAAATACAATGGCAACACTTTGATACTGAAACATTTCCAATGTATGCGTGCAATTTAGAAAAATTGCTCGCTCTCTTTCGCTTGTGGTAGCTTAGGTTCCAAATATGATCAAAAGATGTGATTTTTTTTTTGTAAAGCTTGGGTAATTTTCAAAGCTATCATTCTTTAAAATAATGGATATTGTGTGGGTTTTAAAAACAAGTATTGAAAAAGGTATAGACATTTCATTGGTGGCTGTCGCTGAGTTGGTAGAGTCGGTTGTTTCTATACTGGAAGGTCAGGGGTTCGATCCCCAGCTCCTGCAGCAACATGTCGGTGTGTCCTTGGGCAAGACATTTAACCCCGAATTGATTCAGTTGCTTATGCTTATAATTGGGATCAGTAACTTCTGATGGTCATTTTACATAACCTCTACCCTCAGTGTGTGAATGTGTGACCTGCGTTGTAAAAGCGCTTTGAGTAGTCAGAAGACTAGAAAACAAATATACAAGCTGAAGTCAATTTACCATTTACGACCTCAATCAGCATCCACAGATTTCTGCAGAATCTGGGCACTTGCTCTCTTCGTGTGAAGAATGAGTAACTTGATACACATGGCATGGTTATTATTGAAAGTGTCTCGCTGCACTGACTATCAAAGTGCAAAGTCAGTTGTGTTGACAGTGTCATGAGATTACTGGGCTATCCTATCAGAAAAAGGCTGACACTTATTATTGTGACTTCCTGAGAAAGTTTCAGACAATAGCAGGAAGTCCATGGCATTTTTCTCTTATTCAAGCTATTTTGCTGCTGTTACTTTGGCCAACCCCTTCTGTATTTCCAGGAAAGCTTCAGACCTACTGGGTCATGTGTAAATCTGCTCTTTGCACTAAAGAGGCATTTTGTTGGCATGTGTTTGTCTTTTCAAGGCAACTGCTGCCAGGATGGAGGCAGGAAGGGCATTCTTTATCTGGGCAATGCTGGCGTAACGCTGAGTATCCTTACTTGTTCATCAGAGACCTGCCATCCAGAAGAGGAGTTCAGCTGCGGGGTCATCAGGGCAGCAGAATACACACAGAGGAGCGGAAAGCTAAGACACAGAGAGAGAGAGAGAGACAAAGCAGGAAATATAAAAATGTTTTCCATTGGGTTTGAAAGGATCTGAATGAAAACAATCCATTGCACCTGTTGTTGTTTTCACATTAAGGGGATCTTGTTCGGGCAATCAGAACATGTTCATTTTATAGTTCAAAAAGACATTTCTGACATGAAGCGTCTCCTTCAAAGGGGTCGCTATAGTAGTGTAAAGAAGCTCAAGTATTTAAGTACAAATATGTACAAACTGTACTTCAGTCAGAATTTCAGAGGCTGTTTTTTCAGACACCTTTGGACTCTTAATGTCTATATTTGAACATAAATATATGAATATTATTCCTTTAAAAGAAAATAAAAAAACAGACTTGTTTCTTTAGCTTTAAAGGAAATTAGTGGAGTTATGGATTCTTTCCATTTGGCATCAATTTTGCTACCACCAAACATTTGATTATTTCAATCTAAATGGATAGGACAGCAAGCAAACCAATAAAAATATATTTATTGTTTGTTCTCCATTCATTTGAAGGCGATGAGGCGACACCTGCGAGCATGTTCAGGCAGTTAACTCGAGCTGCATTGATTTCACACTTGACGTGCATCATGCTCAACGATCACCTGACAACACCTTCTTCCAATTAGCGGTCGGTTTAAGCTGCAAGATTTCTGCTCCCTCCCTCCTCTCTTTCATTGCCAGCTTTGACCTGAACCGGTTCTGCACTCTCGCTCAGCCCCAGCATCCACCTGTGGCTCTGAGGTGGTGGTGGTGGTGGTGGTGGTGGGTGGGGGGGGTTTCCGCATATAAAATAAATCTGTGATGAGTGATGAGGTCGTATCCTAGATGTCAAACACAAACTATTTTCTATTTTAAGACATACAGAAGTGAGTTATCTGACTGTTTTATTTTTGCCACCTCTTGTAGTATACACGCAATCAATGAAGCACAGTATAAAGCAATCAGAGTTTTCCATCTCACAGGCTAAACTTAAATAAAATAGTATATCCAACCATTCCCATACCACTGGGTAAAAAGCACACCTTCTGCACTTAATGCAGTTTAAACCATTTACTCTGACATCAACAAGGCTCATTTTCTTCAAGACATGGAGAGCTCCTTCCAGTGACAAAAAAGACATTATGCAGATGTTTTGAAAGCCTGCTTTGTATACCAACCATGCCTAGTTAACTGGCTCTAATCTGCTCTAATGAAGCAGCAGCATTTTAAAGTGTGAGTGCACATGCAACCACTAGGGGGCAATAATGAATAACATGACTTTGGAGCTGCCTTGGGAAAGCGTTTACCTCAGCTGCAGTACACAGTATGACTTCAATGGATATGCTGCTGTGAAGAAGGTTGTGCAGTTTGTTCATTTCAAATGGACAGTAACTAAAAGCAAAAGTATTAGACTGAATAACTGACAGAGAAGCACTGCATAGATTTAGGTCCAAACTGTTTCCTTAACCTCTGTGCAGAGCTCACCTGAGCAGGAACAGGTGCAGCTTTAGTTTTCAAAGTAACAGTAACTATTAGGTTGATTTAACATGTTTGTTCTCCTACAATATTGGAGATATTCAGATCTTTAATTCAAGTAAAAGTACAAGCAACACCGTCAAAATAATTGTCACATATCCTCCATCCTACTGAAGTTAAAACTGAAGACTTTTTTTTTTAACTGAGATTTCACTTAATTTAAACTGTATTATACACGTAGAAATCAGGAGATAGCACTTTAAATATTGAAGAAAAAGGACTTAATTAGAGATTATTCTAACTCACGCATGTGCTTCTCATGTTCAAATATTATAAGAATGCAGCCAATTACTAGTTTTTTAGGATAAATTAACTCCTCTATTAGGCATCTACACATTGGCTCCAACAGTATTTTGTTGTACTTGTACACTTAATAATGAAGATATCTTATCAATATTATCTATCCTACACCTAGTTTACATACCTCTGGGAATTGTAGCCTAACTTACTAAAATGACATCATGTTTGTGCAAAATGTTCATCAGTAAAGTAGTCTTGAAGTAAGCTCATCTTGGTTTAGGGGTTAGGGGTTATTATTTCAACCATTTCTGTCTCTCTACAGTAAAAGGCGTTAAA